GCTCTAAGAACAGCAACATTTTATGAAGACTATCCGTCTTCCCCTTCTCAAAGCAATTAAAACCACTGTTCCCTCCCTCTAGCTCACCAGTTCTTCTCAGAATCTTGGAGTCTGTTTAGAGGTTTACAGACTTCTGGCAATAAGGGACCATTACAGCCACAATAGTCTACCTAACTTGCCTAAAACAGACCAAAGACTCTTGCCCTCTGAATGATGTCCTCTCTCTGGTCTATGGAACGTATGAGAAAGACATCCAACGTCAACCTCAATTTCATATGACACAAAACCTAACACAAGTATTTAGGTAAACCTTGTCCCAAAGGTTAATTACCTTTATTAAGTAAGATGCAGATATTTAATACAGTCCGAATTCACCTAATTTAAATTTGCAGGTACCAAAATTCGCTACACTTTTTTTTTTTTTGAAGATGACAGATCCATCTATTACAAGCCTTTCTACCACCTGGGAATGTGCAAACTGATCCAGTAATTCTTTAATTCTCTCTCAGACAGGATAAAAAGTGGAGTTAGACATTCTTCAGGCAAAAACCCCCAAATCTTCCAAGTTTCAAATCATTCCCTTATTTGTCTTCTAAATAAGGCACAATTTCACAGAATCAAAGAATCGTTAAGGTTGGAAGGGACTTCTCAGTATTATCTAGTATCATCTAGCCCAAACAGCTCTGCTCAAACAGGGTCAGCTATAGCAGGCTGCCCAGCAACATGTCCAGTTGGGATTTGACTGTCTCCATGGATGGCAACTAGACAAACTCTCTGGGCAACCTGCTGTACCGTTCAGCCATGTTCACAGTAAAAGCCTATCTTCTTATGTTCCAATGGAATTTCACGTATTTCAGTTTGTGCCAGTTGTCTCTTGTCACTGATAATCAGTGCAAAGAGTCCGGCCCCCTCTTCGTCACTCTGTCCCATCAGGTATTTCCAAGCCTTCTCTTTTTCATGCTATGCAGTTTCAGCTGCCTCAGCCTCTCCTCATACAAAAGATACTTCAAACATTTCATGCTGCCTTAAACATTTCTCAACATCTTTCTGAACTGTAGACACTAGAATGGAATACAATACTACGATACAGCCTTCAGCTAATTCACTAGAAAAGTGATACAACTCCTCTATTAATATGGCTCTGCTTCTGCAGACAGAATATTCTATCCCATGGTTGCAAACACTGTATATGGCAATACACATTTAAGTCTGCCAGAATAACCAAAACGCTTTTCAGCCTTTCTGTTTTGTACGATACTGTCTCATACCACCTACACAATAAAATGTTTTGCTTCTAGACTTACAAATCCACGCTAGAGAAATAAACGCATTCTATGGAGCACTCTGATCAGCCTTTGCACACAACTTGTTCCTTATTTACTGCTAAACCTCTGTGCTACCTGAAAATTCTATCAGCGCTGATTTTACACTTTTTTCCAGATTGCTGACAAAAAAGTTGAGCAGCACTGAATCAAAATAAGAGTCCTGTAAGACTAACTAGAAAAATCTACAACTGGATTATCTTCTATTTACAGTTAGTTTTATAATCTGTTGTTTAACTACCTTAATATAATTATACTGATTTTACTTAGTGCTACCTTTCTCCTGTACCAGAATGTCATACAGTAACAAGCCAAGCATGTTTTATAACTCTATCAGGCAGACAAAATTCTGTCTATCATTACTACTACTGGCTTTAATGATGCATAGAGAAACCCCACACACGGGCCAGGATCTGTTTTCCTGACAACTGTACAAATACTGTACTGCACTAAGTACTGTACCACACCTGTCCACACTTCAGTAAACCAACTCAGCTTACAATCTCCACAAAGAGAACAGTTAACTTTTCTGACAAGGCTGACTTTATGCCATCCAGAGAGACCTGTACATGCTTGAGACGTGGGCCCACGTGAACCTCATGAGGTTCAACAAGGCCAAGTGCAAGGTCCTGCACCCGGGCCGAGGCAATCCCAAGCACTGATACTGGCTGAGGGATGAAGGGATTGAGAACAGCCCTGTAGAGAAGGACTCAGGGATGCTGGTGGATGAAAAGCTGGACATGAGCCAGCAGTGTGCACTCACAGCCCAGAAAGCCAATTGTATCCTGGCTTGCATCAGAAGAAGCGTGGCCAGCAGGTTGAGGGAAGTGATTCTCCCCCTCTATTCAGCTCTAGTGAGACCCTACCTGGAGTGCTGTGTCCAGCTCTGGAGCCCCCAACATAAGAAAGACACAGACCTGCTTGAGCAGGTCCAGAGGAGGGTCATGAAGATGATCAGAGAGGGGGAACACCTCTCCTACGAGGAAAAGCTGAGACAGCTGGCGCTGTTCAGGCTAGAGAAGAGAAGGCTCCAGGGAGACCTTATTGCAGCCTTTCAGTACTTAAAGGGGCTTCTAAGAAAGATGGAGGGAGACTTTTTAATAGGACTACAGGTAGTGACAGGACAAGGGGTAATCGTTTTAAACCAGAAGAGGGTAGATTCACACTAGATATAATGAAAACAGTTTTTACAATGAGGCTGGCGAAACAGTGGAAGGAGTTTCCCAGAGAGGTTGTAGAAGCCCCATCCCTGGAAACATTCAAGGTCAGGCTGGATGGGGCTCTGAGCTGTTGTTGAAGATGTCCCTGCTCATTGTAGGAAGGCTGGACTAGACGCCCTTCAAATGTCCCTTCCAATCCAAACCATACTATGATTCTATGATTTTTCCATAAAACTATTCTCAACGGCCTGAACTATAGACAAGGCCACATGGAATTAAAAGACAACATTCTTTGTTTTTACCTAGAACCAGTGCTAGACTAAATGACATTTCACTGATACACGGCCCTTCTGCTCATGCTTTCAAACTAATGTCAGAAGTTTAGGGACATCCATTTCCTGGGGTTTTGAACTTCTTCAGCTACTTTCCACCAAAAGTCTGAAAATTATAACATTAATTAGCACATATATTCATCAATTTCAATTTGCGGCCTACAAACAACAAGACATGAAAAAATAGACCTAGAACTAACGAGGCACAATTTCTACTTGACATGCATATTGTTAAGAATTGTAACAACTGCAGCATAAGCTCAACTATCAGACACCCAGGAATCTACAAGGGAACCTTACAGCAAGTTTTGGTTTCTAACAATGTGCCAAATGCAATTGAAGATTTTGTCAGGATTGGAAGATTTACCCCGTGTCTTTCCATGGATTCTCAGAGAACTCATACTGTCATCTCCCCATGAGTGTGGGCACAGGTAAGCTCACTCTCTTTTACCTCACTGCCTATTTCCACAGAACTTGTAGAAACACAACTGTTTTACAGGACTCTAATCCCATGGTGAATCAGACTGGAAGTACCCAATAGGTTAAAAGGTTATTAAGAAACATGGATTTCTATCTTGGACATGTACACTAACGGGGAGAAAGTACAAGGTTAGCAGATGGGACATTCCTCAACACGTATCAGAATAGCCTCAAGTGCCATCACAATTTTTTGTGAGAAGATAATTATGTAAGAAGGAAAAAGGAGACATAGAGGAAAAGAAAGCTAAACCACTCCTCAATAATGTCAATAAGAGTATTTAAAATATTAGAATCCAGATTGGGGCTGGGGTGGCTATCCATTTCTTTAAAAAGCCTGCTTACATTAGACCTCCAGTATTCTCTGTTTACCTTGAAGCAGTTGCCAACATACACCAAAAAGACAGTAGGGATCTTTAGCCTGACACAGCTGCTACCAATACAATCATCTTTTTGCAGAGCAACACAACCTGGAAGTTCGATTTCAGCCAGCACAGGAAAGAAGAAAACAACTCAGAGCTACTTGTATTTGAAGCATTTCCAACTTACACTCTTGCACTTTGAGCACTTTATGTCTGAACTGGACCCATCTTCATCTTCAGATTAAACGTTCTGTTCACTTTAAGGAATAGGTTCATTACTAGCAGAAGAGTGTCTCTAAAAGTAAAGTCACGTAAAATTTTGCTCTTCAATGATCATGCTTGCATGTCATTGAAATCAGTGGAAAAGTTTTAACTGATGGAGAATTTGTCCCTGCAAAGTCAGTTCTATTTTACTTAACTGACATTGAAAGGTGTAATGCAAAAACAGTACTTTCTAATGTTCAAGGTCCCAGACAGGGTTTCATTTGACAAATTACAGACTAGGGTTTCAGTAACAGCCCCCTGAAAAGTCACAAAGCAGTTCAGGTGGAGTCATTTTGCTGATCTGTACCTGTTTTCTCCTGACAGCATTTCTCTTATCCTACGTAATAAACACATAAATACATCAAAAAGGGACCATCTCTTAATAGATTTGTACACAATGTGTCAAACCAGGACCCTAATTTCAGTTGAGATTCTTTAGGTGTTGCTGTAATATAATAAATTAGGCAATATACAAAGCCTTATCTGCTGCCTAATTAATACTAGCAGGTGTTATCAGTTAAATCTCCAACATACTGAGCTGCTTATAGAATGCATGTCCTCTTATGCCACAAACTAAACGACACAAAGAAGGCACGTAGCAATGTGGTAAAAAGAGTTTCTATCTTCTGGCATAAAAAATTTTGGAAAGAACTTTGATCAGTCCTTGACCAAGCATTAAGAGATATTAAAGAAGGTTTCTCCAGGTTTGCTTGAGTTCTCTCTTGTCACTCCTTCACCACATCATTAAAATAAATCATTTTCTAATCCATTTACATTTACAATAGCCGCCTAGGATAGGAAAGACCTAGGTGGGTTTTTTTCAGAAATGTGAACTGAAATCTGTAATAGACTAAGTCTAATTACTTGTCCCAGTCACAGACTTGAACCTTAGCTTTTTTTCAATACATGACTGATGGACACTCCAGAACACAAGGGGTTTGATTCACTTTGTCCTGTGATATCGGTTCACCCTTTCTAAAGAAAGCTGAAAGGAAATAACTGGAAATCTGTTACATGGAACTACTGACTTTTTGTGGAACAAAGAGGCCCCAAAATCATACAGCATGCACAGTATGTATAAACCTTGGCTATGCTGGTCCATTGGACTCTGAGGTGGGCCCATTCCGGGGTGAGGAGGTCGCATACTCTTCATGGAGCCACAATGAACGTCTTCAACCATTCCTTTTTCATGCAAGCCATCAATAGACTGTGAAAACAAAATAAGTATTTACACAGACGTAGTATACAAATCCACTATAAAAATCCAAAGCATTTTAACTCAAAATCTAAACAAATATATAAAGAGCACAAACTTCTTTTAGTAGTCATTCAAAACAAATACAATGGGAAACTTTACCCCTGGAATTAGACATTTGGGGAAGCACAGAGCACCATTAGACTGCTTGTCCCCTCTGGTTTTTGCTTTTTTTTTTCGCCTTATGAAGTGTTTGGCAATGCCAGGGAGGCAAACTGTCCAAATACACACAAATGAACCGTACTGGCGTCATATTACAAAGCAGTGTAACCCACACCAACCTATGAAAGCACAGCCTGTGGCTTGGCTTAAGTTATTTTTAGCCCAAACTTTGCCCTTTCAGTCACTGCTCTACTGGAATGCCCCAAACGCTGTTTCTCTTCAAAAACAAAGATGACATTGCAGGAGGTAACCTCATCTTTGCAGGCAAAAACAGGAATACGCAGTCAAGGAAGGGATGAGAGAGTTCTCCTGAAATACTTGTGCTCCCTACAGTTCCTGTTGCCTCACTCACTCCTCATAAACTACAGTTCCCATGGTACTTGAAATGCAAAACAGGGCCAAATGCCTTCTTCAGAAAGTGAAGACAGGTTGGGGTCAGAAAAGCATGCTGAAGGCATGCAGGGCACTGGAAAAGGCTCCAAAACAGAAACTGAAGGACTCTGTGAAAATAGGAGAAAAGCAACATCAGAAGGAAGATGTCAGAAGGAAGATGTCTTCTGAAAGCCCCCTTTTACCTGAAAGCAAAAATTACATCAGGTCCCTAACTAGGGAAGAGATTATGCTCATTAATTTCTAACTTAGAGCTCTGCAAGGCTTTGTATTAGGAAGGCTGGCATCACTAACTTATCTTCTATCTACAGAAATATGGAGCTCCGTCCCTCTCTGTAACACATGCATGCACGCACACTAAATGCTGTTCTTGCAAACCCTGCTGTAAATGGAGAATTTGTGGTCTCTTTTATCTAAATGCATAACTATTTATTGAGAACTCTTTCTTAAAAAAAGAGTTAAGAAAACTTACTTCAGTGGAAAATACAGTCAGTTAATAAAAACAGTATGCAAGAAACTACATCAAGTCACAGAAAAAAAAAACCTGTCACATTTCTTCTTTTCCAGCAATTTGTTTCACGTGAATCAATTTAAGTAGAATTAAACACAGATCACCTTTCTACAAAGAAAAAAAGTAATTCTAAATTTTAAATTGTAAACCCTTCACGTAAGTTTTCCACTTTCCATTGCAATAATCAGATTTGATTGAAAGTACCTTTAAACACATGGGGGTTTTTTGTTTGTTTATCAGTATTTTTGAAGGATTTCACCATCATTTTTCCTTACTAGAAACTATGGGTTAAAAGGAGGGAAGTTATAGAAAAGGAAAAGCAAAGTGGATTTTTTTATGTTTCATCAATTGGTTTAAAAGTCATAACAGTATAAAAACATTTTGAAAAGAACTTATACCAGAAAAATACGTGTTAGGAAGCTATTTTTGACTACATTAAGTTAGGATACAGAGTAGAAATGTAGAGACAGATGACTGACACATTAAAAATAGTTCCACTGTGCTAATCATGTAAATCCCAACGCCCTTTTCTGAGGCATGAAGATCCCTTCCTCTCCCTTCACCCCTACTTACACAGATAACCAACACAGAAGAGAATTTTATCACAGGATGTGTCGAGGACTGAAACTTTAGGGCCACCAAGAGGAGGAGAAGACTGTGCAGGAAATTGGATCTGATTTCAGAAACACAGGACTCTAGCTATACACATCTGCGGTGTGACTGCAGGGATGGGTGTCACTGCACTAACTGGTGGCAACCATGACACCTCTGTGAGTGCAGGCAGCTCTGCTGGGACTAAGATGGGACGCAGCATGCATGCCCTGGGCATCAGAAATCCCAACATAGAGAAGGTGGGGAAAGGAACAAAAAAGCAACAGTGAAGAGGAAAACAAATGCACGGCCTTTCAAAAAAAGAATTTTTAAAAAATCAAACAGGAATAGAAAAGTAAAGATGTGACCATACAAGAAAACATCAATTGCAGGAAAAACTACGGAAACAACTGATCAAAAGAACAGGGTTTTGTAGGATAAGTTGGGTTTTTTTAAAAAAAAAATCTGTAGCAAACTGAAATGCTTCAAGGCTAATGGAAGAGAGCATAAATATAGCAAGAAAAGGGGGTTGCTTCTGTGTGTTTTCAGAAATTACACTGTGAAAAAACTGAAAGTGGAGTTCATTAGAAAAGGTAGAATTCATTAATGAGTTTTTTAATAAAAAAGCTACAAAAGATGAAGATGGTATAAACTTCTTTGAAGACAAAATTAGTTTTAATGATCACAAAACTGATAATTTATGCAAAGGGACTTGTATTTTCAATAATGTTTTTCATCTAAAAGCACCTGTACCATCTATATAAAAACCCTATAAAATAAGGGAGACAATTCAGCAGAGGACTACAAGAACAGAAAAATAGTTATTTTTCATAACTTCTTTGAGTCACTACATAGTTACAGAGTCAGATGGTAACTTTAAATCTATGTAACAGGTTACAAAATACAGAAAGAATCTTACACAAAATGCAATTTCTGTAAATTCTTCAGTCTTGTATAAATTATTAAAGATTAGCTTCCACAATGACATTGTCAGCATGATAAATGTAACCTATCCTAACAATAAAGCACTACTACCGCATTGGTGTACTTTTTTTTTTACTTTTTTAATATGACAGAACTGAAGGGAAACAGGAAGTTGAGATATATTCATTACTATTTTCATTGGTCCTCGTAAGTAAGAACAAGCACAGAACAGGCCAAATATACAAATGATGCTTCCAGATAACATAATGAGGGATGAGCTTCAATTGTGTGCAAGTCCACACCTACACATTTGGCAGACTTAACAGGCTTGACATAATGCCTAACGCATAAGAAACATTTTGCCTACACCGCTTTTACTGTGAATTTAGTAACTAAGGTCTTCTCACAGACAGCATTGCATCACAGTTTGACCTATTTCCAGGTAAACCGTCAGATTATGGTGTCTTCTTTTGCTTCCTTCCCCCTTCTTAAACAAACAAACAAACCAGTGGGCTTGAAATCAGAGACTAATATCAAGTATCAAACTAGATTTCTTCTAGACCATGCATCCTCTATACCAACAAAAATTGCATAGGCCAAACATTAATGTGTTGTCACATAACTACATAGCATAACTGAAGGCATCACTGATGGACAACCAGACTCACTGTGCTTGTCCTTGCCATCAGGGACTTCGCCAACAATTCTGTTAATATCTTATAAATCACTGAAGCACCATTTTACACGAGGTCTTTGCTGATTTTTCAAGGTTGACAACAATACTTTCTTTTTTCACAACAAAAATAATGCAGGGAACACTCCTGCTAAAAATAAAAAGGCCTTATTTCCAGGACCATAGCAGAATTTTAAGATTCTCAGAATGTCTGATGTGCACAAATCTGTTAGCCAACAATATTTGAAATGAGAAACGATTTACCTTCTGTTTTAACAAAACAGCTGAGTGAACAAACAATATATTTAGTAAAAAATACTGGGTTTGTAGGCAAAGAATTTTTTCTGTCACTCACTTTTTCTCTCACTCATCAAAAACCATAATATTGCCCATGATTTCATAATAATTTTTCCACAGCCAGTAATTATTTACAGTACATCCCATTACAAACTTACAAAAGAAGCGATTATGCATCAGGTTACAATTAAATGGAAAACAAATCAAGAGCTCACATTACTCTTCCCATCCCTCAAGTGAGAACCATGCAAATTAAACAGATATACTGTTGTCATAACTAAGAGCTAAGCAGTTAAAATCAGGCTGTATCAGTTCAGACTAAAACCATCTAACCCTATATTCTGTCTCCAGAGAAGCTCGTCTGTAGATGCGGAGGAAAAGTAAGATTAGGGCAACCACATAACAATACTGTCCTTCAGTATCTTCCCAGCTTCCAAGTATTTTCACCTTGTAAGACTCTCTGAGGCTGCTACTGTTCGGCCATTTAGCAGTCTCCCTCCCACAGACTTTTAAGAATTTCTCCTTACGTGTAGCTGTCTTGCATCCAAGATATATTTCAGTAAAATCTGCAACTGTTAAACATCTCCCTGGTAATCTGATCATAGTCTAAAGATCACTTAAGAAAGATAGCTAATTTATTGTTTCTGTCAAAACCGCATTATATAAATCAATAGTAAATTTTCCTGTGGAAGGGTTTTCTGGTTACCAAGTGAATATACAGTCTTTAATTTTCATATTAACTGTTGTGAAGTAAACATACCTAGGAATTATTTATTAATATCAATTTGTATCAATTAGTGTTTTCTCTATTGTTGGATACCTTTGATTTTATTTTTTATGCATTATACTATTCTTTGTAAACTAGTCAAACATCTAACATAGCATGAAGGTGTTTCACTACTTTGTGAATTTCAGAAGTAAGAACAACATCCCACTGCATACATGCGATGTGTACCCCACAAGCAATTGCATAACTGCGACACTTTTTGTGCAATCTCTCACTTTTATTGTATTTCATTAGGAAAAAAAAATGTGTTCTGCTACATCATGACTTGAAAGTCAAACTGCTTTACATAACACTAAGCAGAAGGAAAACGTTTACTTGGTGAAACTGCAGGTGGCTGACCAGTTTTCTAATTACATGGAAAAATACCCAAGTAATATTTGCAAAATAGTCTAAAGGTATCATTTCACAGCATTTCTTAAACAGACCCTTCCCTCAGTTGTCACAATACATTATTTCTGGGGTTGCACAGGAAAACAGACCAGAAAACTGATCTACACTGAAAAATGAACCAAGATTTTTATGTTTATTTTTCACCTGGATCAGTTCAACAAATCCGTTTTCCAGCTTAGTCACACACACATGAAGGCACGCTGGAACTTGTGAACTGGCAACTTAGAGGACAGCAAGGCTTAAAACTACTAAAATAAAGACTTGTGTAATTATAACCTCTTAAAAACAGAAAGAAACGAGAGAAATGAAGGATGCAAAAACCCTGGCTGTCTACGAAGTTTAAGGTATTCACCAGAGTACTGGAAGCTTGAGCTGTAACAGACCCCACAAAAAAGGAAAAGCCAATTGCAAATGTCTTATCTGGCTAACAGCTAAATTACATACTTCAAGATTCAAATGCAAAAGTTTTAGTTACTGAATGTACTGACCTCTCAGAAATTACAACAGTTCAGTACAAACGGGCAGCTGGATCACGGCCTCCTTCACTTCAGCTGTCTTTGTGCTATCAGAAATTTTAATGATACAGTTCTCCAAGCAAAAGATGGTAGTGTCATGTCCCTACTGACTGGACACTGGCTTAATTTTTAATGTATGAAACTGATCCATATGTGAAAATGCCATCATGAAGAAGTTGTCAATTCATGAGGAAAATTAAAACATGTTTATATTACTTTAAAACTAAATTTTTATTGTAAATTTAATTTTTTTCTATGTGCATATAACAACTCCAAGTAGAATCAACAATAGTTACCAAAATGTTTTCAGTACCTTGGCTCTGTAAAATACTACTGCACATTTCTGGGAGCAGAACATCACAAAACTGAAATAATCCTAAACTTTAAATCTCTGGCACACAACTAAATAAAAATGGCAATATATAAAGAGACCGTTCTTATAAAGGAAATTCCACACAAGCATTTCCTCAAAGCAAAACACTTTAAGATAATCTAAGCACACATGTAATTTTAAGTCTATGACAACAACCACTAAATTCCAATTATTCACCCACTACAGAGTTTTAAACTTATCAGTAAGACAGAGCCTTTATAAAATAACTTGGAAACCAGGTTTTTCATCAACATGAAGAGTAAACAAATTTGTAAGCACAAGCCCTCTAAGAGTTAAAAATATTAATTTTCTTAAAAATAATGATTTCATACAAAACTAAAAATCACCCCAGTAAACACAAGATACATCCAAACAGACAAAGAAAAAAAAAAAAAAAGTGGTTAGAATGGTCTACCATAAGGTTTTAACACTGTTTAATTCAATTTTTTTTCACTAGTAATGCCTATCTTACTGAAAAGTACAGTTTACAAATGAAGATTTGCAAACTACTAACTCTATTGTTCAAAGGAGTCTGCTAAGAACAAGGAAACTGTTTAATCTGATATATGCATTATCTTTAGTAATAAAGACAGAAGTAGGAGTGTAGCTGCAGTTTTTCAGGTGATAAATGATGTGTAATGGCAGTTACGCAGATCTAAATGTAGTGTAAGTAGTTTTTTTAACCAACTGGAGAGAACTCTAGGAAAGAAAAGGTTCACTTATAATAAACTATTACCTTATGCATTTGATGCATGCCTTCCTGTGGATAATCAGTAGGCCCCATTGTCGGCATTGGATGCGGGACACTGGGCGGACCAGGACTTGGCCCCATCATGCTGTGAACTGAGCCAGGAGAGGGCCCTGGTCCTGGGCTAGGTCCTAGAATCGGTCCAGGTGAAGGTCCTGGTCCAGGGGAAGGACCAGGATGAGGCATGGCGCCAGGGTCTGTAGGCGTGGACATCTATTTTCTGTCTCCTTTTCAATTAGCAGAATAACTCTAATAATAAAAAACCAAAACAAAAAACAAAAACAGAATTTCTATGTGACATCAGGGGAATTGAAAAAATCTAGCAAGACCTACTGGCAATCATCACATACAGATGCACATACACACGCAAGCTGTCATCAGTGTAAAATGCTTAAATGATCCTTAATGTGGCACATTAGTTTGACCACCTTTCTGAAAGCCCCCTAGAAGGATAAGGATCCTGATAGTTCAGTCAATTTCTGGGTTCAGTCAATTCCTGGATGTTTATATGTTACTCACCAAACAAAGCAACCAGTATGCTATGAGAAACATCCATCTACCAAAGACAACGGTAGTTCCACCAACTTGCTATCATCAAATGTATCATGTGGGGTCAAGCACAGTACCTACCACTAAAGGCAGGGAAGGTAGCTGGGCACCTCTGTAACATTCATGTGTTCAAAAATCTCTCCCTAAACAGATGTGACTGCACTGAAATTTGTACTTACAAAATTCATAGTAATGTGGCAAAACAAGTATTAAAAGGATTATTAGACTATCTTTCAACTAATATATTCATTGTAGGACCTCTCTGGTTATCTCTATATGCATTCATAATATCAAATGAAACAGACAACAGAAAAGACAATTACTTTGGACTGAAGAGTTATAATCCACTTGAGGAGTTCTGCTGATGTCACAAAGCAGAAGAGTGCAGCTCAAGTGGCTTATAAAACAGTAAGTGCCCCTAGAACAAATGACAGGCTTTCATGGTCTGGAAAACCAACTATTACTACATTTTTATTTCCGTGTTCTGAGTAGAACAACTTGATGCAGGCTACAGGCTTGAAGCATTATTCAGTTTTCTAAGAACTTTTATCATTCTTCAGTTTTCCAAGAACTTTTATCAACGTCTATTACTGGGAACTTTTTGTTTACTAATGTCAGAGTATTGTAACACAGTGACACAGCTGCCGTATTTTTACAAAACTGATGGTCAGCTGCTAAGATCAGTCATCTTTCTTGGTATTCCCCGCTCCCAACAGCATCATTTTCAGGTGTTTGATCACACAGTGATCTCATTATTTGAGAAGTTAAGCCAGCAGAAAAGTAACCCTACATAAAAAAAAAATAAATAAAAAACTAAAGGCAAACAAAACCACCAAACCATCTAGTGATTCAGGTTACTGAACTGACTACCAGCTTTCCGAAAGGACAGATGAGTCCCAGTGACAGCACAAGGAAGCAAGTAGGATCATCACTTTCAACAGTAGCTGACCATTAGAACAGCCTAGCCTGTTCCCTTTATTTACTTTGTGTGTAGTTTCATAGTAAGGTTACCTGCCCATGATTACTCGTCTCATAATAATAAAGCAAATACAATGAAAAATTAAGTCTTATTAAAAAGCATTCTAATTTGGTACACTACAAGCTAATTACAATGTAATGGTACCTTACAAGGCCTAAGATGACTCCCTGTCCCAGCCTCTCTCCTTAGAGAATTTATCACAGAAGAGTGTTCCACCTTCCACATCGGGGTTTACTACTATCCATATTTAGCAATAATTACTTTCTAACATGATTAAGTGGTGTAACCCTGTAATGACACTGCTTATATAAAGCCACACTGTAACACTGCAAACACCCTGGCTTCTAGTCAAATTAAGAAACACTCAAGAAAAACAAAGTACCCTCCCAAGGTTCCCAACAAATTAGAAAGGAGGCCTATCTGCAACACAGGTCAGGAAAAAAAGAAAAAAAAAAAGTCGACTGGTACTTACTGCTAGCAACCAGGGAATTCAAAGCTTACAGAACCGATCATCTTTCTCCTTTTACAAGTAAGAGTCTTTACTTATCAGAACCCACAGAAAAGATAAAATACTACTACATCAAGACAATTTTCACTTATTTACCCCCAATTTTCACAATTTACCCCCACTTATTTACCTCCTAATCAGGATCAAAACCAGCTTAACACCTTTCGCTTATAAATTCCCTTTTTTTAATGTTTTAATAGCTACTACTTTCTTCTGATTAAAGGCATCAAATTAGAACAATGCTTAACTCATTTAAAATAAAATATCCTCACCTGAAATACACTACCTTGGGATCCTATTTCCTTGCAAGGTAAAACAGGGAGATGCCTGTGAAGTCCCTCTGTTCAAAATAAAACACTGTAGTCACTAATTAGTCTCCTACAAGCCCATGATGTTACCACAAAAGGAATCAAGTCACAAAATGTTCACAATTGCATACACCATGCCATAGCTTCCTTTAAGAGGCCCACAGTTTGGCTGTATGAAGCACAACAGACGTTTCCACACAACAAAGAGTTTTTACAGGAGTCAGTCATTACATTGCAAAACATAAGACTGGCACACTCACATCTGACTCTCTCTTCATGCTGGAAGCCAAATTCAGTCCATTTAACAATGCAGAACCTAGCACCATCACCACTATCCAGAAAAATTTATACAGAACCACAACACAATCAGTTACAAAATTACTATCAATATACAGTATCCTAAAATATCCTGTTTCACAAAAGACTTCTACCTACACCTATGTATTAAAATGGGTACCAAAACCTCCCCCTCTATTCACCTCTATCTAAATCAACTTGCAGTTCTCACAAAAATTAACTGGCTCCAGTCTCAGCTGCACTAGTTACACTGTCATTTACATATACACAAATTTGGAAAACTTTAACATTCTTTTTAATGTGAAAACAGTAACTACCGGGGGGGGGGGAATGTTGCACCACTTACACCAGATCAAGACCCTTCATTATCTCTCTCTAAGAGCAGATAAACTCACCCAATCTTACATAATTGTTAATTGTCTTAAACAGATTTGTATTCAGAGATTTTTGTATGTCAAAGAACACAATTCCATGCAAGAAACAAAACAAAAAGTAATTTACAAGATTTATATCAGGGGAACATAAAATACTGGAAAATAGTACCTGAATGCAAGTAATAAATCCTGTCCAAAGACAACCATGGATATAAAGAGACAAAGCAATTTTCTCTGGTAATAGCAGTCCACAAAATTAGAAAAACAACCACTGCCATACACCAGAACACATTATACATGGTCTTCCCAACTACGGATATGTACAGAGAACGGAACTGCTAAAAAACTTACGATTTAAGAAGTTTCAAAAATAGCTTAGTTTATATTTACTAAGATTGAGATTGTAGAAAAAACCCACAGAAATTAGGCATCCTGCTCTCATTAAAATTCAGTAAGAGCCAGATACCTAAGTCCTCTAGACCCTTATAAAACTCACATTAAAGTCAAAGCAAAAATCTACAAAGTGATGACAGGTGCAACAGTGGCCAGGCTCCTTTCAGACAACTTTGGTATTCATTCGGGTGTCTGTTAGAATTACAAAGCAAGGGGTAGGGAGGAAAAAAAAAAAAAGTAAATTATAATAGATTTATAATTATATATAATTTAAAATTAAAATAAAATATTATAAGGACTTTAACAAAATTAAAACACATTTCCATCTTACCATCCCAAACAATAAGGCTGCTGGCCCTGATTCTCAAATGCATTACATACATACTAATTGTTTCTCAAGTGTTCAATCTTAAAATTTCCTCAAAACTCTCATGGGAATAGTGTTATTCCTATGACTTCAAATAAGACTTATCTCTTCTTGAACTGTAATCCCTTATTCACTTCTCAGGTTTATTTACACCAACATCGCCAAATCTCTTTTGCAAACAGCCCCAAAAGGAACTAGCGGGGATTGAATTAGTCGTGGCAAATCACGCAGTTCTTCCTGTGGCCTCAGAGAATTTCTCCACCTCTGTTGGACACGTCACAGTTGAGACAGAGAGGAAAAAAAATCTAACATTGTCAAGGTAACTTTACCCAGATGCAAATACATGAGCCATAAAAGCAAGAGCTGGAGCTGGAGAGACTTAGGATCTCTGCTCAACTATTTCTAGATCAAATGGTTTAGGACAGTGAATACCTACATCACAAAGAATTTGAGGGAATATTCTCTAAGCACAAATGTTTCTGCAACTATCACTTTATATGCACCTAGAAGGTTTTGTAGATGTAGCTAATTCATTGTATAATAGGGGCTCCCTCAGCTCAGTGTTTCAGGACCCATGGTATTCAAGCACGTCACACATGTTTTGGTATAAACCTGCTACAAATCCAAAGATAACAAAGGCATGGATTTCCTTCACATGAATAAAGTATACAATATTAGTAGACGCAAAACTAAAACACAGCAGATAACAAACCACTTGCACTACTTTGGAATTCAAGACCAGCTGGACACCCAAAAAGATCTAGAGATTATAGACTGCTTTGACACAGGGCACACACCTGTGTGTGATGGAGAACAGACAGAGCAGTATTTATAATTATGCTAGCTGTTTCACTGCACCATCCAACACAACTTCTGCCTTTCCATGACTGAGTCAACCTAAACTGAACTTCAGCCAGGATGTTTTAGCCGGACCCCCTGCCTTGGATAGGTAGTGGAAAGTAAGGAAACTGCACCACGTAGATCTGATGAAAAGAGAATATGGACCCACGCAACAGCCACATACACACTGCAAAGCAGACTGTAACTTTGCCTTCACAGAAGAATAATTACCATCTACTTCTCCCCACACATCTCCAACTTAAGTCATGATTCACAGGTGGCTTTGAAAAGATATACTGTGAAACTGTAATACACTCTACAGGCTAAAAGAGTTACCTTTATTACACTACCACACAAAACATGAAATGATACTGTCAGTGATTTGTAGTACTTAATCTGATAACCATAATCAAATGATGTTTAAAGTTTAAGAACTGATTAATAATGACAGCAGCTTATCATAATTAAAACAAATAACTGACAATACTTAGAAGCAAATCAGTGTTTTGTACTGTACAACCCCACAGGACACTCCACATTAACATTTATGAGGATTTAACTACTATCATTTCATCAATGATTCAATCAATAAAGAGGTTTACAGGAAACAACAAAAAATCAGTAAGGAGAAGAGT